AGAGAGAGAGAGAGAGGAAAGTGGTTTTGGTTGGTGATTGGGTTTCGTAATGAAACACTCCTGCAAAATACTTCTTCTAGCATGCCTTACAACATAGTATTATGCTTTGGTAGACTTAATGATAAAGTTGAGTTTTTTGGCAGGCTCAGAAGTGTAGTTTTTTATTTCTTTTGAAATCCATCATTTAAAATGGATGCCCATATAGAAGTGCGTCCCCTGACGCACACTGCACTTTTTATTTGATATTATTAATTTTATTTGATAATTCCTATAAAATATTATTAGATATTATTAAATATATATAGTCCCTTTGTAAAAGGTGAGTTAAAAGTTGAGAACAATCTAGTTTTACATTTTCAATTAATTAGTTATTATTAGATATTATTAAATATATATAGTCCCTTTATAAAAGGTGAATTAAAAGTTGAGAAAAATGTAATTTTATATTTTCAATTCATAATTTCTTTCTTTTCTTTTTTTCTTCTTAAGTTTTTGGATTTATTTTTACTTATATTAGTAAATATATTATTTGCTTAGAAGTCTCCATTATTCTGGAGAATTAAGGAAAATGAAATGTAAAAATAAAAAAGAATATTAGTGTTTTTTTCAATATAATTGTAGTTTTCATAACATGGCACATAATCATTAAATATGATTATAAGAATATTTATTGAACTAGTAATTTATAAATTTAATTGTTTCATTTTAATTTAATTACTGTAGTTTTCATAACATGCCACATAAACCAAAAATATGATTGTACGAGGAATTTATTGAAATAGTAATTTATATATTTAATTGTTTCATTTTAATTTAATTACTGTAGTTTTCATAACATGCCACATAAACAAAAAATATGATTGTACGAGGAATTTATTGAAATAGTAATTTATAAATTTAATTGTTTCATTTTAATTTAATTATTGTAATATTGAATACAGATAACAATCTTAAATAGGTAAAATAAGGGTAAGTATTATAAATAAATAAACATTCAACTCTATATGTTTCTGTCTGTGTTTAGTATACCCTTACTCTTTAGTAATACTTAAATGTCGAGACATTTAGTTTTGTATATATAGTTTTGTACCAGTGTTTTAAAATGCGGGATGTGGCCCGATGTGTTGGGTGTGCCGATGCGTTTTAGATGCAGGTGCATCACCCCGATGCGGTCAATAAATCTAAAAACCTCTAAAAAATTGAAAAAAATAGGTTGATGCATTGAAAAAAGGAAAACGTTTATATAAGGTTCAACCTTCTACTATTTGAAGTAAGGTGTACCTCAAAAATCCTACAATGGAGAGCGTTTCGGCATCAGAGACCGCTCCAATTGATCACCTTGAGAAAAAAAGAATTCTAAGTCAAAAAAATGGTGCATCTTGTAACAAGTTATGTGGACGGTCTATTTCCAAGATTTCCAAGTATTTCTTGATTTGTTCGATTTGTACCATTTCTAAAATTTTAAATTATAAAACTTAGGATAAATTTTGAAGCCGATATAAAGTTTTGTACATCAAAACGACATCTCTAAGTAAATTTTATAGGTGTGTTTTATTTCTATAGTATAAGGAGGCAACCTTTTATAAACCTCACCCTTGAAAAAATATGAAGGTGATTTATGTGATATTAGGTATTTAATTTAGAAAAAAGTTTATATAAGGTTGCAACCTTGAAATGTACAATCAAAGACGCACCTAAAAAATCCATCCATCGGAAAAGGGTGTTTTAATGTTGAAAAACCCTTTAATTGATCATCTCGACATCAAGATGTATGAGTACGAAAAAAAAAAAGATGTTTGAGACCCATAAATAGTACATCTTGCAACACATTATCTAGACCGTCCATTTTCAAGATTTTCACATGTTTATAAATCTATTTGATTTTAACCATTTTTGGAGTTTAAAATTTTATAATTAGAGATAAAAATAGATTTTCAGATAATCCAAATAATTTTTTACATTAAAATTACATGTTATGATAAAATTTGGAGTTGCGCCTTAATTGGATTTCTTAACGTTGCAACCTTATAAAAACCACACCCTTTAATTTATTCATTAACTCCAAAAGTATCAGCTGTCGGAGATTCTGTATCCACTGTCCCTTGATAGATCATAGAAGACATTAGAAAGTACAAACTAGAAACTTGTAAGTAGCTTCGTAAATCCTTCAACAACCATAATCACAAATTTAAAATAACATAAAAATATTCTAATCTCCGTTTTTATCTCTTTGGTAGCTCGTGGGAATGCTCTTACATTCCTTGAAATACCCAAGTCTTTTTTCGCCGAAAAGTACCCCTCATATAAGTATTTCCACAAAGCATACAAATAATACAATTTCGGTTTTTCGGATTTTTTAGCTTTGCATATTTCCAAGCCGATTCCTTGTTACTAGAAAATTGTGAAGAAGACATTGCCCAAAAAAAAAGTGCAGTAGGGAAAAAAGTTGTTGATTACGTGAAGAAAATATCGATTCGTCTTGGTCCTTGAAACCCTCGATTTGTTGTCAAAACTTTGCTAAAACTTCCTCAAATGAAATTTCTGCCACCTTTTTTTTGATCGATTTGATGAAGTAAAGGCCATAGATGTGGCTGTTTTTGTAGTTTGGGAGTTCAATACCCCCCAAACCCTTTCCCCTTTTTTTCGAGCTTAAAAAGATGAAAATGTCCCTTTTCGAGTGGCTATTTTTCACTTCAAAATCTGGCCGCATGTGTGCCCTATGCGGGATGTGGCCGCATATGCTGTGGGATGCGGTTCATCCCTCCAAAGAGCATATGTGGGCTCATGCGATGTGGTTGCCAGTGCATCCCGCATTATATGGCCACCTATACGGCGATGCGGTCGCATTTTAAAACACTGTTTAGTAGGAAAGTTTAATATATATTTTAAGTTTGTGATAAGTGAACACAACAATTAGATGGGAACACAATAAAGGTTGTAAATTATTATTTTATTACTATATTATCCATTATTATTATATAGATGGTTATAAATGGTTATAAACATCATTATTAGCATTGTATCATATCTATTATTTATATTATTTCATATACACTAATTACAGATAAGCGTTAATATCTTCAATGCTAACTCTCATGAGCACACAGTCACATTAATCATTGAAATTATTATCACGTCTAGTGGGTGATCGAAATAGCAGTGATTAAAAAAGCGAACCGCTCAGTGCTTAGGTGGTTCGAAAGGCCTGGGCGCATCACCCAGGCCTAGGCGGCTAATCTGGATGGTCGATCCTTGGGCGGTCGCCTAGGCGGTACGGAACCACGCTTAGGCGGGCGCTCAACACCAAGGCTTGGGTGGCCGCCCAGGGGCGGAAATAACTTTCAGTAGGGGCAATTTTTGTTATTTTTTCTTTTGTTTTTAGGGGTAAAAAATTAGGTTTTTAGGTTCATTTGAAACCTAAAACTTGTTGGAGCGAATTTTAGAGAGAGAAAACCCCCAAAAAACTAGTTTTTGGTGATTGTTTTTAGATCGAAGGGTTTCTCAAAGTTAAAAAAAATTGATCAAAATATCACCCATTGATATTAGATTTACTGTTTGATATTTTGCAAACTTATTAGGGGTTTTTAGAAGATTTTGAGTATTTAAAAGCATCTTTGAGTTGGAAGTTTGAAGATTTAGCAATCAAACTCAAAGTAAGTGATTTTTTTTTATTGCTTTAGTAATTTGCATTATTTTTTAGATGTCTTCTTCGGGATCTAATAGGAGTGGTGATCCCAATTGGAAATATGGCTATAACCCAGATCCTAAAGATAAAAATTGCATAAGATGCAATTTTTGTGAAAAGGATGCAAAATGGGGCATAAACCGGTTCAAGAAATATCTTGTCGATATCAGGAGGGATGTTGCCCTATGTTAAAAGACTCCTGATGTTGTTAAAG